GGAGAGCGTGCACGGAGAAACGTTAATGTGCGACCGAGCGGAAGGATTCACGGCGTGATCGACCCGTCGTACCTGTCGAGGATTTTTGTAATTTTCCTTCCGTACGCCTTGGGGATATCCTTGGCGATCCAGATGAGGTGCACGTCCACCTTGCTGGGCTGCATGATGAAGGACAGAAACGGTCCCAGCCCAGAGCCCGTTCCCACGAACACAGCCCTCTTGTACATGTTGGCCAAATACGCCACCCCTGCGAAGCGGACCGTCCTGGTCCATAGGTGAGTGGGCGGGTGGGTGACGAGGCGCTTGGTGAAATCTCCCACGGCTCCGCAGATCATAATGTTCTTCGAGAACCCGTCCGAGCCGATTCCGAAGGCGTGCCACTCCTTCAACGGGTTGCGTGCAATGCGGCCGAGCACTCCCACCGGCAGTCCGTCCGGGAAGGTGATGAGCGACACGGACTCGTCGGGGCTGGAGGCGCGGACGGGCACTCTGCGGATTAGCGTCCACGGCAGAAAGATGACGACGGTGAGCCCGGCGGCGAACCAGATGTCCACGCGGCGGACGATTCGGTCGCCGTTGGTGTAGAAATCGCCGGTGAAGGGGTCGTAGGTGGCGGATATGACTATGAAAGCCCAGATGAGGCCCAAGGCAGCCCAGCCACACAGCCGATGTGCGTTTTCGAAGACGTTGTGATGTACGTGTCTGCGCGACCACCGCACACGGAATCAGCGACAACCCTGCACGATTACAGCGTCTTTGGGATTGTGTTCCAGCTCTACACATCGGTCATGGAAGGAACAGACTCGCGGCTTACACAACGCTGCTCGCATGATAACATCGAACACCGTTCCCCTGAATGGACACATCGAGGACCCATACTCAACAAAATTTAAAGTCGCCATTCGAGTGTGGTAGTCACCCGCCCTGGCGGCCGCGAGGGGCACGGGCAACAGCAATGCGTTCATGTGGTGTGCAAGTAGTGCTCACCTGACCAAGGGGCATGCCGCAAGGCAACAAATGAGAAGCAGGACGAACACCACCGACAGGATGGCGACCGAGGATTTGGGAACTCGGTGGATGTGCTCAGCGAGCCACGCCAGAGCATACACTGCCCACAGAAGGGAAGCGACGCCGCACCCGGCGTGGATGCCGCCCAAGTTCTGGAGGGCGTGGGTAATCCACAGTTTGAGCCTGAGCGGAACCCAGGAGTGCCCGAACAGTAGCACCGTCAGCCAAAACACCATCCGCAGAAAGACCTGCAAGAGTTGTCGCAAGGGTCACGTCAATTCATGGCTGCGAAGCTCGCCTGTATTTGAAAACCGGCACAGCGTACATACGCAACCCCGCCCGTTGCTGTTTCGTGGGTGCGTTTGCTGGACTTGCAAGCGGACGGTAGGGTGTCATGGATCACGCGGTGGGCATGCATTCACACGAAGAAGCGGGACACAAGACGAAGTGGTCAGCCGGTGTTACCTCGTTTCTGCACAGGCTGAGCACGACCACATTCGCGAGAGAGAGCAGGGCTGCGTTGTCGCGCGCACAAGGCCAGTGCCCGGAGACAGCGACGCTGAAGAGAACCACGTTGGTGAGGAAACTGATTGCGGCGAAGCGCTTGTATATGCTGAACCAGTCCTGCTCCTTGAGGAGCACCGCGAGGCGTGACTTGTCCGATCTCGTCGACTTCGTCGACTTTGGGGGGTCTTTAGCGGGAGGCGGAGTCGTGACTGCATGGACGGCAAGATTGGCAAACGACCGACAACCAATTAGTTCGTAATACTCCTGGCATGACATGGTTCGACTCGATCACTGTCCGAATGGCTACCTGGAATTAGAGACCGCTACGACAGTAGCTTGTATCCTGCAGATGGGATTGGACTGGATTGGATAAGAAAGCCAGTGTATCTACGTCAATTCATCCGGTGTTGCATCGGCGTGGTGTGCATGTTTGGTGGAACACCCATTCCTTCCTGGTCCTCGCTCTCTCTCACTCGCTGCTATCGACGACTGTAAATTAGTGAATCGTACATGCACACCGGCAGTGCATCTGCTTTGACCGGCATCATAGCATTTTCATGACAAGTCGGATGCTGATCGGCTGGACCTTCCTGCGATCGCACATGTCTAAGCTGGAAACGATAAAGCGACATAATCGAATGCTACGGCGAAGCTACATATCCCTTGCCCAGACAGTGCATGCACGCAAGTGAGTCGACGCATACCAGGTATCTCTTTGCCGAGTAAAACCTCGGCTCCCTTCTCGAAGTAGACCGCAGCGGCGGGATCCATGTCGACGGCGGGCATCATATCAATCGTGCCGTCTTCGAGGATTGTGATCGCCAAGTCATGGATGCGTGCCGACGACCTCCTGGCGTTGGACCTCCGCGAAGAGGACTTCCTCGATGGCTCCATGGTCAAGGGCTCCATCTCGACGTACCTGCAACTCGATCGAGAGCTCGCTGAATGCTCTCAACTGGAGGGCAGGCCGCTCGATCGAAATGGGTGGCGTGACTGCAACGTCGCAGTTCGCCGAGGGTGGTTTATGTGGCGCTCCAGCTGAGAGCTATGCAGGACGCGAATCTGTTATCTCGATTCACGTTTGACCGAGAACATGAACCTGGCGGTGCGCGGCCCTGCAGGTTTGGCAGCGATAGTGCATCCCAAACAAGCAGGTGCGGAGTGCGACCGGTGGGGGGCGTGGGAATCGAGCTGCCTATCATAGAACACGTTCTGCTACTTGGAGCAGTCCAGGTACCCATCAATCATCAAATGCCCCAATGATCTACCCACCCACACCGCAGCTCCTGTTGCTCCTGTTGTTGCTGGTTCTGCAGGGACTGGTCGACAGCGGCACTAGTCTATCCGAACTGCGGCAGTCGAGAGAGCTAATTGGGGGACTGCCAGGCATGTCGAACTCGCGCAGAAGCTTCTCACGTGTTCACCGCAGTTGGTGAAATGAGATGGGGAGGAACGATGTGGCCCGGCTCTATTATACTACAGTTGGAAGTCGCTTCCTCCGACTCATCCCAAGGAACTTGGTTAGCATCTGTAGCGAATATATTTTCTGTCCCGGAGACCCTTCGTAATTCTTAATCCCTGCATGCCAGAAACACGTAATTCTATTCCCCGCAGTAGATGCTTCTGTCTCGTCTTGCTCGGTGACAGTGTTGGAGATGCCGTTGCAGAGAAGAGGGGCGCCACCGCCGGAGTTACGTGGGCCGAGAGATTCCGGCTACTTAGTAGCGTCCATTCGCTAAATTCGAGAGAGCGCGGATCGCGCCAGGAAATATGATGGGAAGATATCGCGTACGAGACTTCGGAAAGAATCTCCTGCTCGTTGGAATACCTTCGATTCTCGAGGGTCTTCTTTTTCCATTTTTAGTTGGCCGTTGATGTTCTGAGAAGCGAGACCACTGTCGGTGGTCGAAGGATCGGCCGTGCGAGAGCACCTATCCCCATTGCTGCATGTGCATAACGCAGGACCGTCGATCAACTGACACGTCGGCCGCTGGGCTGCTGGACATCGTTGAATTAGTTCGGTAACATGGACGGTATGAATTTGCCGGATGCTCGGTCCGCCGAGAAAATGCTCTTGGTTTTGGCAGATATAAGGAATAAAAAATGTGTGAAAGGACACCACGGGCGAACTGGGTCCATCATGCAGAAAGATGCAAGCGATGTATCGAAGGAGAAGAACCTTCCAAGCAGACGGGGAGCTGTTGGATGAAACATCCAAACACATTCTACATCCACCATTCTGTTACACCTAGGGTTTTCCAATCGTCTGTATTAGAGCTAGTATTGACAGAGTTCTAGAGTAGTTCGAAAGAGATGCAACTGGAGAGCGTCAGCGTGTAGGAGATAGAACATGAAACATGTTATGCTCTGATTGTCACTAGAGAATTGTATATATTGAGTAAAGATTAGTGTACTATCTACTGTGCATTTGTGTATACAAAGGAATGAAATCAAATAGGAGCACTGGCATCCAGTCGCTCGGTGGCTTTCCTTCCGAATTCGGTCACTGTGGGGATGAGCCAGTTCCAGTCACTGGACGCTAGGATTGAGGAACTTGAGGAACCTGGGCCATCCGCCTTCACGCAACAATGTGAGTGGAGGAGGCTGTAATTCTTAAAGTCGATTGGGGGGGCGTGTTGTGCCCCAGGTGCTGGGCCTGGGTCTAGGCCTTGTTCGTTTCGATTTGTTAAGTGCGTTACACTGCGAACGCCGCGGGCAGTGGGGGTCTGTGCTGAGAGGTTGTTGGTCACTGTAGGAACCTGGCCCGAAATGATTCAAGAAGGGCAGTTACCCAACTTCCGGGCTTGTATGTTCCCACGCGCGCGGGACGGTAAAGAGCACCAAGATGCCGAACGACAGGCACCCGGCGGTGGACCAGCGACAGAGAAGTCAACAGCAGGGCCATTCAGCAGGGACCGCAAATGAACATCTAATGCTACGCAAAATCTTCGTGTATGCCCTAGCAAAACAGGCGCATACGAGGAGGCCGCTCAATGCGATGGATACTTGTAGCAGCAACTTACAAATGGAAAGCAAAGAGGGCGGAGGGCCTGCATTTGGGTCGCGTGGATTTGTCCAATCCCCAGGATTGAGGGATCTTGCTAGATCGGAAGGCTTGATCGACGGGCCAAAGCGCTGCGAAATGCAACTCTTCCAATCGTGAGTATTTCTCACTATGGATCCTAAGATCTGTGCACAATATTCTCCAAGGTGCTAAAGGAATCCTCTCTTATTTTTGCTTGTTACATTCTATGCCACCTACAACACCCGCACTTAGTAAACGGTTTTCTGGTCTAAACAGTTTTGAATGAAGCAACCTTAATTTAAAAAGGGTATTTTAGTAAACATACAACGCTTGAACTGCAGCATTTGCAATATAGTAATGAATGTAAATAACAAACAGGGGTAGCCAAAAATTAAGTAAACATTTTAGATGACCGTGTTTTTGAACCATTTGTGGGTTATACAATGTGATGGTTTAATGTTTGGATTTTATTTTCCATTTTTATTGGATTAATGATTCTTAAGTTAATCAGGAATTGAGGTATTGGAAAAAGCTCTTTTCATGTAATAATAATAATAATAAAATTACTTTGTTTGTATGTGCAAGAAGAAGAATATTCGTTTTTGATTTAAATTTGAGATAATCATGGAAACACTTATAATACAATAGAAGTGATTTACAAAAAATCCAAGGACACGGTGACTTTTATAAAAACATTATATGAATTTTTGTATGTTAAAAGTATTGATTGTAACATTTAGTTTTAAGAATAAGTTTTTTTATCTTAGTTTTTTAATAAAATTCCTTTATTTTTGTATTGTTTGTACATATTGTAATTTGCATCAATAATTTCTTATAAAATGTTATAAGAAATACCATACAACAAGCTATATTATCCAAGTATGTATAAAAATTTCTTTTGAATTTATGCCAACATGTTTAAATATCTTAAGTCTTTTAAAATGAATTTTTATGTTTTTTATTTTTATTTTTATTTATCTTTGGTTTTTATTATCATTGTAGTTTTTATTTTTTTATATTTTTTATTAATATAAATATCTATCAAATTATAATCTAGTATTGAAATATCTATATTTTCTATCTTTAGAATATTTGTTTTATCAAACATTGAGTTGTTATGTTTTAAAATATATATATTTGATTTTTTCTTTTTAAAGATTTTATTGAATTTTTAAATTTCTATTTTTTAGAAAATATATATTAAAAAAATATTAATATTATTTTTATTAGAAAAAATATATTTTAAATTTTATTTGACTATTTTATGTTTAATTTTTTTAAAATAGTATAACTTTTTTTTTTTATTAAGCTTCTATTGTAAATAATGTATATCTTATATTGTATTTAATTGATGCACTAAATGCAATTGAAAGAGATTGTGATTGATAGTTTGGACTTAAAGTTTGAAGTAGTTAAGTTAAATATTTTCTATGGTTGCTTTGTATATTATGACTTATTTTATTTTTTATTATTAATAGCCACTACTTTTTATAAATTATATAGTGAAATATTTAAGATTCAATTTAAAATAATTTTTCTATTACTTTATATGTTTATAACAATTCTTTAGACATAGTTATTAGTTTTTTTTTTTTTTTTATTATTTATAATTTCAATTTTTAGTTTATGTACTATATCAAAATCTAATTTTGGTAATTAATGTACTTCATTCAATTGCAAAATTATAATTTTTATTAATACTTGTCAAGGATATGAATCTCAAAGAAAAAGAATCCTCAATACACTCTTCTATCACTGAAGAGAACTAGAAAGTCACTCAAATGGTGATGTAATATTAACTAGGATGACTATTGCCAAAAACAAGAAAGATTAGGAAGACTTGAAACAAGACTAAGACTAGAAAGGCGTTGATAAGAGTGAAGAAGGCTTCACTCTTGCCTCCATATATACTATCTAACTAAGAGCTACATAGCAATGTCCTCTAGGACCTCCAATATGTGTTGACTTTGCTAGCCACATGTCTTATCTTGTAAGGTAAGTTATCTATGTATGCGCCACGTAGTTGGCTTGTTCCACAAGCTACTACAAGGAGGTAACTTGTTCCACAAGCTACCAATACATGGTTAGCTTTTTGGCCAAATTTCTAACCTACAAATACATATAAAGTCAAAACCGAGTCTATGAAGCTTCTAGAAAGCTTCTCTAGAAGACTTTATGAAATTATTCTATATTTACCTACTTCTACTTAATCATATAAGTAACTATTGAGGTAAATATATATGTCTGTGATACTACTTTGTTATTAATTAACTATAAATACAAAACTTATGCTGTGAAAGATAAAAATTCAAAGTTTGTAAATAAACAAAGCAAGATGTACGTAATGAAAAAAAAAAATTATAAAAATGAAAAAGATTATAAAAAATTTAAATAATAAGAAAAAAATAAAAAATGACTAGTACTAAAGATAAGATGTTGGATATTCTATAATCTAAATTAGAAGCAAGAAAAGCATTGAAAAGAGTAAAAATTGCCTCATTGTTGGCTCTACATATACTATGTAACTAAAGAGTTATTTATCAATTTTTTATAAGCCACATAACATGTCTAATTTGTTGGATTTATGTCTCACTTGTAAAGTAAGGTTTTAATATGTATGCATCAACGACAACCAATAGTAAAAGTAGCCACAATGTGAAACCTAGGACCAATGTATAATCCACGTTTTTGATATTTAAATCATCTTTAAAAACTTAAAAAATAAAATATGCATATATTAAATATTATAAATAGTAATGAGTACTAATATATAAAATTAAATAAGTAAAATTATATAGAAAGAAATAAATAAAAATAAAATTATTGATCTTTTGAATATATTAACTTTGAAAATTATAATCTTGAGAGATGAGAGTTTAATCCAAGATTGTATTAGCAAAGTAGAAGTATATAAGTCTAGTATGTCCAAACCTTTACTAATAGGTGCAAAAGCCTTCATGCATGCTGTAAAAGAAAGATCACCTTTTGCTATATATGCTACATCCATTTCTAATGGTGAAACAACATCGAGTGGTATTCCTAAGCAATATCAAGAATTCCAAGACGTTTTTGAAAAGAATAATATAAATATTCTTTTCAAACATCGATCTTATGATTGCTCAATTGATCCACAAGAAAGAGCTCAACCACCATTCGGACCAATCTATAGCTTATTGGATAATGAATTGGTTGCATTAAAGGAGTATTTTGATGAGAATTTGGCAAAGAACTTCATACGCCATTCTAAATCTTCCGCCGGGGCTCCTATCTTATGTCTTTGACATTATTGTCTTTTCTAGGGACGAGTTCTAAGAGGAGCGATTTTCATATGTTGAGGAAGTGCAAGTTGTGGCAAATTTTATTTGCTACATATTTTGACCTTTGCTGTCTTCAATGATGATTGATAGGTCCTCTCATCCATCCATAGTATCCCATACCTGGGCAAAAATCTACCCTATTATTTGATCTTTGTTAACGACTTCATAACTTC